GAGTGTAATGAACAACTATAAGCTTTTTCCCTCTCAAATTCTCAGTTTTAACAGTTTTCAAATTTTTTAATTAGACTAGCTCGCATAGGAATCCAGTCAGCCTTAGATCATGCAAGAATGAAGTTCAAAATTTTCTTCAAACATAAACCATAGTTTTCATTCATCACTCTAGCAAAATAAGTAATCCATATTAAACCCTAATGCAAATAAGGAAACTAGGAGACGAGGCAGCCCCTATCATCTTTGAGAAGTTGTTTTAATTACAGGATTAATGCAAGTAAACATCTTCTCATAATATTACATAATTATCCCCTCATAATTTAAAAATTCAAATTTTAATGAAATTTAAAATTTCAATTTTCCCGCTAAGTCCATAGAATAAAAACACAAACATACATAGTATTACAAAATAAAAATTACAGCATATAAAAATACTCAAATTCTAAGAAAAAAACTCCTAATAAATATTTATAATTTGATGTCTTCTTTATGCACTATTTGATAGGTCTAGATTTCTTATTTGCTCTGACTTCTTTTGATTGGTTCAAAAACTTTCTGTACTACATCACAAAAAGTTATTAAGCAATACTTGAAATCCTCCTAATATTTTAATATGCAAGAGACCATACATCTAATAAATGTAGTGAGATCAAAAATTCGTTGAGATCCACCCACTTTAAGACACATTAGTTCTACATCATCTTCCAATGAAAAAAAATTAGTTGTATGCAAATGGATCTTCAATGTGAAATACAAAGAAGATGGAGTTGTCAACTAATACAAAGTAGGATTTGTGGCAAAAGGTTACACTCAAACATATAAAAACCAAGACTTTTGAAAGCAAATAGATCTTCAATGTAAAATAAGAAGCAGATAGAAGTGTCAAAGGATACAAAGCAAGATTTATGGCAAAAGATTTCACTCAAACCCATGATATTGATTATCAAGAAACATATGCCCGAATTGCTGAGATGAAAACTATCTGAATAATTTTCTCTATTGCTGTAAATTTAGATTGGTCAATCTATCAAATAAATGTAAAAAATATCTTCCTAAATAAGGATCTAGAAGATGAAGTCCATAAGCTAATACCTCTTGGATTTAAGAATAATAGAAATATGATCCAAGTCGGTAGACTCAAGAAATCCTCATTTAGCTTAAAACAATCATCAGAACTTGGTTCAATAAATTCCTTGTGGTGGTTAAAAGATATGGCTACTCTCATGGATAATCTAAGCACACTTTATTTACCAAGAAACAAGCTTAAGATAATTTCTATCATAATCATACAAGTTAATAGCATCATCTTGATAGGGGACCTTGAATAAGAGATAAACAAATTGAAGTGTGTACCTTCTAAAAAATATAAAATCAATGATCTTAACGTATTGAAATGTTTTCTTGGCACGAAATAAGCAAGATAAAGCAAAGGAATAACTATCTCGTAACAACAACACACCTTGGACTTACTAAAGAAAGCTGCTACGCTTGGATGTAAACCCGCAAACACACCAATTGATACATTAAACAAAATTGGAAGAAAGCAAGTTCAACCCTTGTTGGAAAAGAAAGGTACCAATGATTAGAAGAATACTTATCTACCTATATCACAATATACCTAATATTTGCTTTATTGTTAGTGTTATTAATCAATTTATGAATAACCCTATAAAAGAGCACCTCATGCCATTTACAGGATACTAAGGTATCTCAAAAAGGCACCTCAAAAAAGCTTATTCTTCAAAAAGGCGACTAACACAGGGATTGAAATCTTCACAGATGTTGATTGGGCTAGATCTATGAAAGATTGAAAATTCATATTTGATTATTATTCATTTATATGGGAGAATTTACTTACATTGGGAAGTAAAAAGTAGCTTGTGAAAGCTTAAAGCACTATTGAAGAAAAATTTAGAGCCATAACCTATGGTATTTGTGAAGGTATGTAGCTTAAACATCTTCACAAAGATTTAAGTCATTCCTCAACAAAAACTCTAATAATGTTTGACAACCACGCTACTATTAGCATGGCTAAGAACCCAATCCATCATGATCGAACTAAGAATAGTGAATTGAATAAATAATTTATAAAAGAGAAAATGGATAAAAAAATCATCCAAATGAATTACACTCCAACATAACTTTAGATGGTTAATATCCTCATTAAAGCTCTCAATCAATCATAACTTTATAACTTTATTTCCAAACTAGGAATGATTAATATATATTCCCAACTTGAGGGGGTGTAGAAATCCTAGTCCTGCACCATCATGGCAATCAGCGACACCTACATTATTGATGACTCCACTAAAAAAGTGTGGATTTACTTTTAAAATATAAACTTAATGTCTTTGATGCTTCTAAAAGGTGAAAAAGAATTGTAAAAAGTGAGTCTAATGCAAAATAAAGTGCCTAAAGCTAGACAATGGAGGTAAGTATCATAGTAAGAAGCTCAAAGTCTTTTGTATGACTAGTGGGAACTATACTGAAAAGGCATATCCAGCAATCCTATAAAAAAATGAAATTGCTAAGCATATAAACAGGGCCCTAAATGAAAAAGAAAGGAGCATAAATTTGCCTGCAGGATTGCCAAATAATTTTGGGCGAATATTATAAGCATTACAACTTATATGATCAGCAAAACCTCAATTCCTTTGTGAAGTAAGGACTGTCTAGAGTTTCTAATAGAGGTAATATGAGATGCAAAATCATGATAAAAGCACATAAAATCAGCATATTAAGACTTTTAATTTTAAATAATTATTTACTATCTTCAATGAAAATTTAAATATATGATGGAAATAAATTTAGACAAAAAAACTAATGGCCTTTTACTAGAAACTCAAGATTAAGAAAGCCACACAAATATTTTGAAATTCATGAATCTGATAAAAACTACATTGTAAAAAATTTGACTAAATTGCTCTTCCAAACCAATAACAAAAAATAGCAGAAGGAAGTAAAAGAAATGAAAGAATTAAGCATAAAGTAATGTCACACTATTACAAGAATATTACCTCTACAGTAATTTTTTAAGTCTCTAACTTGATCAAAAAAAAGTAAATATTCAAACCAGAAAGAATAGCACATGCAACTTAAAATTATAATTAAGTTTTTTAAAAAGAATTAAACAAATATTTAAAATCATAAATATAGTGAAGCAAGCATGGTGGTGCCAGAGGCAAGCACGGTGGTGCCAGAGGCAAGCACGGTGGTGCCAAAAGATATTCTACTATTATGAACAAGGATACAAATCAAGTTTCTTTTGATAGTAACTCTCTAAGTCACTTAAATTGTAGTTAGGTTCATTTACTAACCTTCTTCTTTATTTAAAGGGGATTGTTTTTAAAAGAAGATTCAAATGTGCTCCTTTTAAATAATAGTGGAAATATTTTTGTATTTGATCATCTGCTAATGATTACAATAATGTTGGCCACATGCATAGGTGATATATTCTCATTCAAACTGTGTTTTCTTAGGTCTTTTGTGTTGAGTTTTTGAGCTATAATAAATTTTCATCACTTTCCTCCACTCAGTTTTTCATTACCCTTCATAAGGTTCTTATTGGCCTTGAAAAGGCGTTTGATTAAGTACTACTAAAATTAAATAAAAGGTGTGTGTCAATGGTATCACTTGTAAAAATATACATATGATGTAACAGTTACTAATCTTAGATGTAATTGTGGAGTGACCAAAAATTCTCAATCATAACAAGATTATATTAAGGATCAACATTGAGTTCATATCCTTGCATTTTATAAGGAGATTCTTATGAAAGATATTCAACATGTGGTAGCTTACTGTATGCATTTTAGATGTCATAGTTCTAATCAATGAGATATATGCAAAAATAAGTCAAATTTATAACAGAGAAAATAATTATAATCTAGGATGAATAAAATAAAGATTTATCATGTGATATGTAATATTAGTAGATATAATAATTATTATTGTAAAATAATAATATTAGAAGATAAAGTGCTACACTCATATAATTGATTCAATATTGTAGATCTATCATACAAAAAGAATAGTGATATTGATCATAACATAATTTCTCAAGTTATTGTTCAGTGGTTCAAATGGAGGAGCACCTGAGAAGTAATATACAATAAGATTATATCATGGACATCTCAAATAAATTACAATATTGCAACTAGGCTAATGATATTATAGTTGAGCAGTACAGAAGTGAGAATGTTAACACAGATGTGTGGTAAAACTAGAAAGAATATATCAACACTGAAATAGAAAATATTAGGGATTGAATAAGACTAAAACAGAAAGGATAAAACGATACAAGCATACTCCTTAAAACCAGAATATAAAAACACTCGAATTAGACATGAGAATAAATCAACATAAAAGTAAACACATTGCAAAAGTTTACAAAGTTTCATACTTCATGCATATCATCGCAAACATATATTGGAAAATTTAGCAATCTTAATATCACCATGACAGGCTTGCAAGTAGCATTGATAAATTACTTGAGACCCTTTGAACACAATTGAGTGGGAGTGATCGATACCAAATAAGTGGAGTTCAATTCCAGATAACTTTCCAAATCAATTGCTATAGTGGATATGAAGAGCTGATTTGGTTGGATCTCAACTTCCAATCTGGATCAGATTTAAAGACAACAAAAAAAAGATTATATCAATTAAAGATATACAACGGCTTTAAGAAACTTCAAGATATACAGCAGCTTTAAGCATAGACAGTGGATTATAATCAACAATCAAAAGAATCTTAAACTAAAGAAGTATATGAAATAGAACCAAGATTAAGTTTAAATCACAAAATTTAGATCAGTCAGCTCAAGTCAACAAGATAATAAATAACGAATCCTAGAGGTTCCAGTTCAAATCTAGTAAAAGAAACTCCAAATGGAATCTGATTCTGTATTCAGTGGTAAAAGTCTACAAACTTAAAGCACTAGGCTTGCTAGAACCATTAACAAAAGACTAAATAAAAGGGGGATAAGAAAGCAAACCAACCTCAAGGTGCTCTAATGCAGTGATGCTTGTTGATTACAGCAAAGAACAACATCAGTGATTGAAATTTTTGTTCTGCAGGCAGAAACCAGATTAAGAGGAAATGGGTACAATTTAGTAAATACATACAGCAGGTCCATTAAAAGCAGACAGGAATCTACTTCATCAGCTAAGCCTCATTTATTTAACAGCATTAACTAACTAATTAAAGTATAAAAACTATAGTCTAGCTTCATCAAAACAACCGAATAACATGAAGGGATTATGTTCCTTCTAAAACCACTGCTAAAAAACTATTAAAGGGGAAATTTTTGAGTCAGGATATCAGGACCAAAAATTTTGACAAATGTGGATTGCCAAAGCACAAATTTTTATGTAGACGGAATTCCATCTCAAAAACTTTGATAAACATCCAAGAACTTCATCAACTACACCAGCCGACATCCGCAAAGGCGTAAAAAAGAAGAGGAAGAACGGGAAAAAATAAATGCAATACAATTACAGGAAGATAAAAAATGAGTAATTTCCTTCTGTAATTTCGATTAAGCATTGATGAAAACCGGAATGACAGCTACGCCCAGAATGTCAAAGAAAAATTGAAGCCAAAAACACCTTCAATTTCTCAAAAAGGAATTAAACAAAAGAACTGCATCATCTACAGACAGCGATGTCATTTCCACAATTCTCACCCCGAACGACAACGCGGCAGGAATTACGGTACAGGTATGAGATACTAAAAAAACCGAAGAACTATAGAGGATAACAAATAAGTAGGAATTCAGAAACAATTCTGCAGAAAACGACCAACAAAGCCGGAAGGGAGAATAAACGCCTCCAACTCAGTTTCCAGTAGCAGAGAACAAAAGACACCAAAATATACACAACGGCGCCGCATGAACAGATGCAGGACATGCAAAATCCACGGGAAAGAAAATTTTCTCTTGCATTAAACAAGAACAAAATTAGCAGAGACACGAGAAGAGATATCCAATACGCTAATCAAATAATTAGTAAAGGCATACGCGCAGTCGCACTTGGAATCGTCGGCAGTTGGTTTGAGATCCCGAAAGCTGCGAAGCTGATAAGGCTAGGGCTGCCGCTGCGGCTGTGACGAGAACCAAAGAGAAGCCAGCAAAAGCAAATTTGATTATGTGAAGGAGCGACGCATAGAAGAAAAAAAATCGGGAGGCGACAGGGCGCACATTAGATTGGCCGGTGCTGGGTAGTCCGGGCGGCCAGTCACCACTTCCCGGGCCGGCCCACTGTGGGGCCCGCATCGTCACGATGCGATCGGGCGGACGGGGGTCGCCACGTTGGGTCCAAGTCCACGTCGGCAACGGCTCGTCACCGTTCGTGGTGCGCGGTCAGTGGGCCTTTATATTTCTTTTATATTAAAACACTGCAGCAGCGTGACAGCGTTTTTTTTTTCTTTTATTTATTTATTTGAGAATGATGAGAGCCGTAACATAAAATATTAAACTTTAATAAATGCTTTTATAGATTATATGACAGAAACTTGTTATTGCAAAAAATATAATTATATTTTATTATTTTTTATTTCACTGATATATAAAGGTATTTTTAAAATTAAGAGTGTTTAGAGAGCTTGCAATTATTAATAAAAAGAATTATAAAATTATTATGAGATAAATAATTTTGTAATTATTATAAATATTAGAATTTTTCTTATTTAAGGAAGTTTGAGAAAAAAATTATGTAGCTATTACTCTTTGACAAATTTATTCACATAAATTATTTTATCATCACATAAATAAAAAAAGCATAAATTGTAATTAAATAGAAATATGATGGTGCAGTATAAAAAGTAGAATTTAAAAAAAAAAACTAATTTTAAAAACAATATCAAAATTATTGTGGGTATATATATATATATATATATTACTTACAATTACTATACTTTAGTATATTTATTAGGGTCCAATTGGGACTTATCGTTTACTCAATGTAACTTAATTTATTAAAATTTATAATATGATTTATATAAAATAAAAACTTTAGGATATTTTTGTCATAGATTTCTCACTATTTGTTTTAACATTGTATTATTGCTTTAACCTTTTTATCGAAAGTCACTTTAATATATGTTGGATAAAATGGTGTTTTATAGGAAGAAGAATAAAATAATACATTTTGTATCATCTTTTTCCTTCTTCCATCCTGATGTGGTATTTGAGACCTTCCCCTTCCACCACTTCTCCTTTCTCTAGGACTCTTTTCTCTTCGCAGTCATGAACACTCCGCTTGTGGCTACCATCAGCAACGGGCTAAGTATCGACGCTCCCCTCAACCCCTATTACATTCATCACTCTAACAATCAGAATGTCGCTCTGTTCTCACAAATCTTTACATGAGACAATTATTCCTTATGGAATCGAGCCATGGTGATTACCCTGTTCGCTAAGAAAAGACTAGGTTTTATTGAAGGTTCAATCAAACCACCATAAGGTATGGAACAAAGCTTGTCTAATTCTTGGATATAAAACAATAATATAGTGATTTCTTGGAGTCTTAACTGTGTATCTCAAGAGATTTCTACTAGTCTTTTCACTTTTGTATTCTAATATTGTGTGAGAAATTTGGATTGATCTTAGAGAAAGATAGATTTCAACAAAATAATTAACCCAAAAATATTCTAATTACGCCATGAATTAATCAACTTAAGACAAGAGAAACTGTCAGTTGCATTATACTACTCAAAGCTCAAATGTTTATGGGATGAATTAAGCAACTACCGCCCTATTTGTTCCTATGATAATTGTACTTGTAGGGGAGTTAAGCAACTTACACAATTCTATCAAATTGAATATGCATGTAATGTGCCTCTAAATGGGACTCGATGAATCTTTAGTGCAAGTTGCAGTCAAATCCTCCTCATGGATCCTATTCCTAATATTAGCCTGTGTTTTTGCTCTCTTGTTACAAGAAGAATGACAATGTGATTTGGGCCAACAACTTTTTCAATGGAATTAACACTGATGGAGTCATGTTTTCCATCAAGAACAAATGTCACCAACCCATCAAATCAAAAGAATGAAAGGAAAATCAAAAAAGAAAATTGCTTATTGTACTTATTATAGGTTTCATGGACACACTAAGGAAAAATGTTACAAGCTTCATGTATATTCTACGGGTTACAAGTAAAATCATAATTCCCTTGTAAATTTTTTTTCAAGGGCTACGATAGAGAATTCTCCAATAAATATGATCTCCAACGTTTCCACTAAAAATGTTACAATATTTCTAAAAATATGATTTCCACTAATAATATTTGAGTTGTGAGATGATGCATTAGTTCTTATAAGCGCCCATACGGAGTTTTTTATAGCTCTATAACTTTATAATTTAATGATTTCACTCACTAACAAAATGCAAGTTTGAGCTAATCATCAACGAAACATAAATTAAATAACACATAATCTAGCACAATATTTATACGTACCAGATTTTCATTTCAACTTAATTTTTGTGAGTTCATTAATGAATAATAAGAAGCATATTTTCATCTTTTTTACTGATCATTTTGTGATCAAGAAATTCACAGCATGAGGATAATTAGCATGAGTGAAAGATCCACGAATTATTTATCTTAATCCTTAAAATCATACACTCTGCACAATTCTTCTCAAGAGAAACCAAGCCATTAATTTCTTGAATGGCACAATGCCATGAATATTGAACTCAATGCCGTCATTAAAAATGGTTCATCATGGACTTACCCCAAAGGAAGCATGTCATTTGGTGTAGATGGACTTATAAGATCAAACACAATTCCAATGGATCCATAAACAAAACTAAAGCTTGTCTAATTGTTAAAGGTTACATGCAACAATAAATAATAGATTTTCTTGATGCTTTTTCCCCAGTGGTAAAATGGTTATTGCAAAACTTCTTTTTGCCCTTGTAGTCAATCAAAATTGGGTTCTAAATTAACAAGATATCAACAATGCTTTTTCATTGGTGATTTACTAGAAAAATTATACATAGAATTGCCTCTTAGTTATCAAGGTGAGGGGAGATTTTTCACAAAAGGTCATAAATCTGTTTGTAAACTTCACAAATCAATTTATGGTCTAAAATAAGGCTCTCGATAGTGGTAATCAAAATTTTATAACTAACTTTTTTTTTTATTCAATCGAAATCATATTACTCTTTGTTCACAAAAGGAATAGGTTTGGACTTTGTTGCTTTAATGGTTTATGTTTATAGCTACCATTAATTCCTTTAAAAAAATTTACTTACTCAGTTTCAACTCACTAATCTAGTTGAAATAAAATACGTTCTTGAGTTTGAAATTGCTCGATCAAAATATGAAATTGTTCTATCCCAATGTCATTATTTTTGTTACTAGACGACACATGATTGTTAGCTTATAAACCGACTAATAATCCCATTGATCCTACTAACAAGTTAAATGCTTCCGACCGGAACCTTCTTCCTAATGCATCACAATATAGAAGACTAATTGGAAAACTATTACATCGCATTTTGTCTCACAAATATTACTTTCACTGTTCATAAATTTGTGTCAATGTATGTCTAAACACGGAACACCTCACATGATAGCAGTACATCACCTCCTACGTTATTTAAAGTCTACATCAAGATAAGCTTTTTCTAATGCATATTGGGGATCTCGCTCGGATACACATAAATAAGTTAAGTGAATTTTGCTTTTTTTTTTTTTTTTTTTTGGATACTCCATTATCACTTGAAAATCAAAGTGCACTTGCATCCACAGTCCACCAGTTATTTTGGATTGATCAACTTCTACTTAATTTTCACATAAATATAGCAAGACACATCCTCCTTTTGTGACAATTAAATAGTTGTTCACTTTTTCACAACTTCAACGTAGAATGAATATTATATTAAAATAAATAATATATATTTTTAATTATCGCACTATTTAAATATTATGTATATTGTTGTTGTTTTACACTATTAAATATAATAAGACTTAATATAGGCTAAAAAAATTCTAACAAATAAATAAAATTATGAAAACTTATGTGGAAATTAAAATGATGTAAAAATAGTTCCATACGGCTCCCATTCATTAGAATTAATGCTGTGGGGCTTAGCAAGGGGACAAAAGGCCCTTCTAGTTGTTGATATCTACGATTCTGCCATTCCGTCAAGGCTGTAAATTTGCAGAACTTTGGTTTGGTGAGCCGCGGCGAGCCAGCGCTGACCGTTCAGCGTATGGAGACCACAATTCCGAATTCTGTTATCGCACGACAACAAACACGTTAATTGTTTCAGATTGGTGTGCTCTGTTTTCAAATTGCCAGATGATTTATTGGCAGATTCATTGTAGGTACTAAAACCAATGATATGGTGACAGATGGAGCATAATGATTGTATTTTTCACAATGATTTTTTTTTTTGTTGGCTTCTTTGGATTATTTTTTTTGGCAAATCGCTTATTAGCTGTGTTTATCTAATGGGGGTCCAACTTCATATAGCCAATAAGGATTTCTTCTACATTTGATGGGTATAGGAAATTCTTATTTGATCAAATATTAGTTTTCATGAAAATTTTGAATTTATATTAGAAAAATCTTCACAAATTCATTTTGGAATTAAACACAACAATCCTATATCCTACTATGTAGGGTTTGATTGAATCTTTTTTTTTTCGTCGTGTCATAATTCTGGAATTAAATGATATCATGAATTTTAAATTTATCGTTACAATGACAATCTTGTGATAGCTCCACCGAAGTTGAATTCATCCAACTCAGAGCATAATAATACAGTTGAATTAGTTGAACTGACATAATGGATGTTGCACAGTCCTAAGCCTATCACAAGTGTATGGCTTTGTTTGGGACAAGTTTTGAATACAACTTTTCGATGCTTTCAAGATTTTTTTTTACTCGAAAGCTACTTTTAAAAGCAGTAAGATACTTTTCCTTAGCAAAGCCTATGTCACGCACCCACACAAAGTGCCTGGGAGGTGGTCAATGCCAACACTACTACTCTGATGATCATAGAGGTTGTCAAACTAGCTCCTAACCCCTTCTCATTGAGTGCAACATGGTCAGAGACCCATTCAAACATTTCAATAATAGTTTAATTTCAAACTTTATTGCAGGTCTAAAATCTCTAGATCCCTAGAATTTCTGAGCAGTAAATATTGGATTACACTCTGTGAGGCAACTATATTA